AAATATACTTTTCCTTTAAAATTCATCGTGGAGATGTGTTTGAAAGGATATATGCCCAGGAAGGTGGCGCGCTATGTGGGAATCAGCTTTAGAAAAAATCCAACAGAAGGGCACTAAATTGTATCAGTTCAAATAAAACAACCAACTTATCAGTTTGTAAAATTTATCGAAAATTCACTTTTCTGTACCCCGTTTTGTATTTCCAGTAGTTCCGCTACTTATTGCCGTTTGTTTACTGTGCGCTTTACTACTCCATAGATTAAATAAATTACGCAGTAACTGTGTTGGAATTAACAATTTTTCAACTTTAGGTAGTATTGTCAATATTTACCACTAACCAATTGGTAGTTTATTAAGCTTGTACGCAAAATTATTAATATTAGAAGAGACAACTCTTCTTTGAACACTTACTTGTAAGAGTTGAATATGTAAACAGTAAAAGGTCACTGTAAAACAGCGAATATATGAAGCCACGTGACTGCAATGAAATAAAATATTGACTAGTGTTGCAAAGTAAGAACACAAAATGAGCAAAAATCGAATAAATTCAGTGAATATTGCATTGCTAAGCTGAGAAAAAGTCGTAGGCATTAGGTAGACTAATTATTTGTATAATGAAATATTTTTCTTGGTACACGCAAATGTTTAAAGGTGCTTTTTTCGAGCGTTGAAATTTTGAAAATTCATAACTCCAAAATTTTTCATTTTGAAATGAAATAAAAAAATAAGTCCAATATTTTGCCTCAAAGAACGCAATTAAATGTTTCGCACGAAAGAAAATTGGTGGGCAAAGGATATATATTATATTATTCAAAATTATATCTCTGGGCGGTAACGTCGTGTCAATTAATGTCAAATACAATTTTGAACAAAATTATAATACTCTGTAGCAACTTCTTGCGAAAGTATAAAAATAAGGAAGCAGGAAAAAACGGAGCAAGGTTCAACAGAGAATGAGAAAGTAGTGAAATAAAATGCATTCCATTTAATCTATAATTTAAATTATTTTTCGTTTTGGTGCACAAAAATGCAATGCAATCAAATGCTAATCCAAATATAATGGAAATCACGGTCAAAGGAATAAACTGCATACAAAATAACAAAACCAATGAAACAGATCAATGCTGGCTGCGTGTTGGTGACATTCGTCAAATCTGCAGTTACAAATGGAAATCTCTGGCGGATGGCGGCAGCAGGGAAGCGGTTATATGTTTTAATACCGGCATTAGTTTCAGTTATAATGACATTGTTATTAATGTGAATTTTGTTGCTGTTGTAATAATAATTATGTCAAAATTAAATGAAAATGTCCGCTTTTAAATCGCTATACTAATATATTTATTTGCTATTTCTAACAACATTCAGATAATAATGTTTGTTGATTACTGGCACAGATGAAGCAGAACCGATTCCCGATCACAGGAAATATTTATAATTTCGCGTAATGCTAAAATACACCGAATATTACTATTGTGATGCATATTTAGCATAATTCACATATCAGAATAAATATTTTGAAGGTTTATTAGGAGTGAACAATTTCTGCAATTTTTGTATATGTGAGCACGACTTTTACGTTTTTGTTTCACACAAATTATATATACACTGGTCTACAATTGTTTTTGATATTCTGACATTGCTATTCATGGATCAATGAGTTTAATGGAATTTGCCCACCGGCTGATGGCTTTAGATAACTTTGATGACCCGAGCTTTTTCCTCGATGTCAATTATAAACGTACTTTTGTCCGAAGCGGTGCTGTGATACATCTTCAGTTTGACAATGAGCAGTTTGCAAACTGGGCATTTCATTATTAGTGTTTTACTTCACATTTATTTGTGGTCAATTCAGTTTTTAAAATATAAACTTTAGAATATTTTTTCATTGTGTTTTAAAGAAATCGCTTTTAGACATTCTCTACACCCCCCACTTTACTGCCTGCCCTACAGTACTGGCTTTAAATACATGCTTTAGGATTAATACACCGCCTTCTAACTAAGTTGACCACAACTTTGCTAACTTATTATAGGCGTTCGTTTCACTAGTTACTCAGAGTTTGCCACAAAGTTGTGCTTGTAAACTTGAATACAGAGCCAGTCGAAAAGGAGCTTTAAATGCGAAGGCATTGGAGGTCAAAAGGAACAAGAAATAGTCAGTTACGCAGCGTCTTCGTTCTGCCAACGTCTCCTAGCGTAGCATTATGAAAGCATAGCAAAAGTTGCTTAATACAGGTTTTTGTTTATAAAAGAGTTTATTCTTTGGCAAGGAATGAAGTTCAAACATCAACCATATTTTAACACAAAGTTGAAAATATTTTGTTCTAAATCTTCAGGGTATTTTGCTACGTCAAATGACGCACAAGTTGAGGCATTGAAAATATCTTAGCAATAAATGAGCGAAGCTAGTATCTACAAACACATATAAAATATCTATTGACTTACTCTAGACTTCTCAAGCTTTCGAGAGGAGCTCAGCAAAGGCAATAAAACCATGCACGGCAAAAGCAAATACGAAATACAATCACAAACACAATAGCTGTTTCTCAAGTTTCTTACTCTGATTCCTATACAATCGGCGCTGTGCATGAGCTGCCATTTTCCTTGGTTTGTTTATTAGCTTTTCTTTCTTCAACAAGTATCTGAATAGTGAGTCTTGTGGTGAGCTTAGCTGAGCTCAGTGTAGTGTTGTTTTGTTTTCTTAGTGCATATACTAGAAAACTAACAAAAATACGAAGATATTGCGGTAAAATGTGTTTTTTTTTATTTTATTTTATACTCATTGTTATAGGAATTAAATGCTTAAAAGATTGAAGGGTGATTTAATTGTAATAATGTAAGAATTGTAATACGGTTTCGATAAATTTTTCTATAAAAAAAAGCGTCGAAAAAGTATTAAAACACTTTGCTAGTTTTACTTATAAATTTTCAGTATTTATATTACTAAAGTGATTTAAGCTTCGGATCTGTGATATATAATGATATACAAGTATCAACTTAATAGACGTTAATTAAAAATTATTATTTTTGAAAGATTGACAATTATGTTCCACCGTGTTTGTAAATATTTTAGTACTTAATTAAATTGCATAAAATGTCATTATGATTTAAGAAATCATCTAATTCAAAAAGTTCGTTAAAACTAAAATGTGATTGTCCTTGACAATTAGCATTTACTTTTACGTTAACAGCGTAGAAAGTGTATTATACTAACTAACTGGGGAGAATAATGTATTAAAAAAAAAAAACCAAACAAAGGAGCTAATTAAGTCCGCTGAATGCAAAGCTAATTAAGATAAAGGCAGCCGACTGAAACATTACACTCACAGAAGTACTACAGTATACATAAACTTATGCCCATGTAGTTGTTTAAATAAGCGTGTAGGCATGAATCTTTGCATTTAAATTTGTTTTATTTGATGAAAATAGTTGCAACTCAAATTCTCTGGAAAGGGAGAACAGAAGCGGGGATAAAAAGTGCAATTTGTGTTCAAAATTAATTACATAATATATATATACACACATCCTCAAGCATAAATAAATATTCCCACATGTACGAGTATATTATGTTATGTTGCATTTGATTGTTACTGTTTTTGTGGGCCCCACTGCTATTTCTTATCTCTCTTAAAACTCTTTGCTTTCTCTGCAAATACAGAAAAATGAAATGAAAGTGAAATTCCAAGTTATATGTGTTTGTATGGGGACAACATTTCCGCAATATTCTTTTGCTTATTTCACTTTTGTGACTTTTGCTACAAGTTTTTGCTAAACAATGAATTTAGCTTTGCCGATTTAATTAAATTTTGATATTCATATACGAAGATGAGAGGAGTAAGTGCCCCTCTTGTATTCTTTTGCTATGTCATTGAAAGTGATGAGATTTGATTTAAAAAAAAAATGGCTGGTATGGGTTGAAGTGTTTTTGAAAATATGCTCAAGATTTTAGTCCTTCGATTAAGTTAGGAGCAGGCAGCGATTATATATATAGAGATTATTATATATATTCGAAAGATTCGTGTCGTACTTTCGCTTGCCTTGGTCATCTATGCGAGGTCATCCGATTAAAAGGTTATGGGTTTTACTGCAGGGAAGTTAAGTTTAATTTTTTATTGAAAGTCGTGATTTGATTCATGAGGAAAAAGAGAGGCCGTACTACATATTATATAAACATACTTTTAACGAATCCGAAATATTTTATATAACTTCAGAATTTGTCTCGGCTAGGTTTCTGAAACATGATTCCTTAACGGCTTCCTCGTTAAATCCGTATACTAATTCGCTCAGAATTTGCATAAAATTGTTTTCAGCGACGTCAACTGAATGGCATTGCACGAGCTAAAAAAAGTTTCTCACCACCACCTTACACTCAGCGTTTTGCTAAGACACGTGATTACCGGCTCTCTGTTTGTTTATTTACACTTGACGAGTTTGGGAAAGAACCCGTAACCAGTGTGTTACATCACGCTCTGAAATTTTAAATTTAACCAAAAAGAGATAAAATAGAGAGTATGAAAGGAACAGTACTGTTAGGGTTACCGCAGTGGTATATAATGCGAATGCATTTGATACTCTCTCTGTTATTTGATTTTGATATTCTCCTAACCATACCCACCATATTTCACAGAATAAAATGTAATTCTTCATTTGCATGACATGAACTCTTGTCCAGCTAAAAGTCTGTAATGGGTCCGCTGACTAAGAAACAGAGTATACTCCCTGCTATACCTCTGTTAACGTTAACAGCTACGAAGTAACAGTAAAGCAAAGCGCATACAGGGAACGCCGAAAACGACAGCCCTGACAAATGTTACGGCAGCAGCGTCGCTGGCAGCGAGAGGGACCACGTGAATACCAATGCTGTGCTCAAGGATGCAGTAATAGCAGCGCCAGCATCATAAGCCAGAAACATTAGCAGCGCTGCCCCTTCCGCCTTCCGCCTTCCGCCTACGCTCAACTACTCGATTATTTGGCTGGCACTTGGCGTTTTAGCAGTCGCAGCGGAAATTCAGTTCAGTTTAGAATGTGGGCTTGAATAAGCCGGTTCTCTCCTTGTCGACAGCAACGAGCAATGTGGAAATAGAAAAAGATATTAAAGAATTAAAGCAGAAGCCAAGTTGAAGTTGGAAATTTAAAAATAATTATTATAAATAAATACATTTTAGGTGAAGTATTACTATTTGTAGTGAAATAATAAAGTCGAACTAAATTGCGCTTCACCAGAACAATAAGCAGCGAGTTGGCCGCTCTGTCAGTAAATACTCGTATAGTAGACGCGCCGTTAGAAATATGGTAAAAAACTAGTGAAGCAACGAAACTGATGGGAAAGTGGTGGCTAAGTGCAAATAAGCGATAAGTGGAGGACGTGACGCGCCGAGCCAAAATAGCGCCAGTGTAAGTCTGAGTGAAAATCGTGATACTGTTTGGTGTGCAGTGTGTACGACGTGCTTGTGTGTGTTTCTGCAGTTATCAGACCGGCGCGTTTTTATCGCTTTTCGTCTAGACAAAAAATTCCAAACAGCAGGGGCACATAAATTTTAATTAACAACCCTTCGTTCTTTCCGCGCCTAAGCTCAAGGTTTTCGTTTTTGTGAAAAACGGAACAAAGATCTGCCTCTGGGAAAACAGCGAAAGCAACGTTTCCATAAATTTCGAAATGTACGCACCAAAAGTCATTAGTTCTAAAGTATTTAACGCTTATTAAAAATGTAAATGTGCTTACATTTTATTTCACTGCTACTTTTGGTGTTTTGTGAGATTGTGCTTGCTTTTAATTTTTGCGCTTTTGCTTATTAATATTTACTTAAGTTGCGATTGCATTTTGAACTTTACCGTTACATTCCTTTTTACTAAAAATTTAAAGAAAATATAAATTTTCGCTTTACTTGTGTGCGTTTCCTCGGCACGTGCGGGCGCAAATCTTTACTTGTTTATTCTTTCCTCTGCGGCTGCTCATAACAATCGAACTTGTGACCGTGAAAGGGAACAATGTGCAATGTAGCTTTTGAATGTTTTCCTTTCTGCTTCTGATTCACCGGCTCTGTAAGTGCTGATGCTACCGGCATATTCGCTACGTTGTGTTGCATTCCTTTTTCGGCTTTCTTTTCCATTTCTGTGCTAAGCCGCAAGCTGAATGGCTTTTGACGACATGCTCTCATCTCCTCACTTTTGATAGACTTGTCTTTATTGTGTCAGAAGTTTTCTTTAAAACATACTTAAAATTTCAAAAATTTAATTTCTTGTATTTATTGTGCAGTGTCTCCCTCTCAACTGTGTCAAGAAGTTACTCATACGCCCAGGTGTTGATTATTGACAACTTGCTTACTAGGTAAAATGGAGTTCCGATGTTGGTGAAATTTAAAGTCACTTCCGCGCAAATGAACACATTTTTTAATGATTTGAGATTGTGTTCAAATTTCTTGAAAAAATTTGAAATGGTCACAATCTAATAAAGGTTTTGATTAATTATAAAAGAGTGGTAATTTTGTGTCAAACATTGTAAGTGGAAGATAATTCAACTAATAAATTATATAATCACAATTAAGTTTATATCGGTGTACTAAACGAAGTTTTGTCAAATTCTTTGTCAAAAAGCGATTTAAGTTGTTAATTTAAAATATTAGAATGGATAAATTAATTAGCAACCGGAGTAGTAGGATTTTGAATACCAATTTTAATTTTTAAAATTAAATATTTTAAACTTTTTATTGAGCATTTACAATTGTGGAAAACATGACTTCCTAAACCAATCAAATTTAATGTAAAAGCAATAATAACCTTGCAACAATATGGAAAATTTTGCAGAGGTTTTAGCGCGAAAGATTATAACATTGAAGACACTTCACGTCGGTTGGAATGCAGTAAATCAAAACCATTACTGTAAATGTAATATAAATAACATAACAACAACAACAATTTTCATGTTTACAGAAACAAAAGTAATTTTCTTTCCAAACTGAAATGAGCTCTAAAGTGGAGCGAGATTTTTATCTTCGTCAAAGAACCGGAGGCCGCAGCAAGCAGTTCTGAGTCATAGAAGCAAGCCTGCACCAAAAACGGAAGCAAAACAACAACAAATCATGACAACATTACACATTTTTCCCCGTAGTAGAACAAATATTGTATGTCATTGCAAATGAAAGAGGAGTGAAAACAACAAACTACAAGCTACAAACTCTCTGCATTGAGGCCACAAGCAGCTTGTGAGATTTGGCATACAACAGAAACAGAAACAACTGCAGTGATTGCAATTAGAACATCGACCGAAAGTAAAACAACGGCATAAACATGAAATTCCATTGGCAGTGACTTCAAAATAAAAACCCACTTTACTCATACACACACACAATGAGCGTTGACTTACATACATTCACATACGGACCTTTTTTGGCACACCCAAAACTGTGTGTGCCAAATGTCGCGACATCGCATGTACTCGCGTAAAACCGTTTTTGATGTACGATTACATGCGTAGAGTTTGTTGTTGTGTGGCATTGCGGCAGTAACAAGCAACCCATTATAGGAGGAAAATAAGACTAAAAGAAAGCCAGACAAGCAAACGGAAATGCGTACCACTGAACAACAACAACTACGAAAGAACCAAACTCAGCCAAATACACACAGACGTACAGATACTCTGCATCTTCGCAAAAGATGACCAAAGGCTCACAGCCCCAGGATCTTCATTTTCCATTCAATTTCGAACTCTATGTCAGCGGCAGTAGCTCCCGCAGCGTTGCGCCCCTCCACACTCTTTTACTTGGACAGGCTAGCAAAGGCTTAAAACTGCGTTGTAATCCCTCTCTACTTAGCAGGTGCTCGGGAAATATTGTCTACAGCAAATATTTTCTTATGTCCTTGACATTTTCCAATTCATTTTGGGAACGTGCAACTTATGAGTCTACATGTTTGTGTGAGTGTTTCATTCTTTTTGTATGGTAAGAGTGTGTGTGATCGAGAAACATTAAAGCGAAAATGCTCATATTTATAAAAGGGTATGTGAGTTTCCATGGACTCAATGTGGCATAGAAAAGTTCTGCTGGCTTATTCACTTATGTACCCTGTCAGAATCTTACGGTTTATGAACATGTGCATATAAAATTTGTGTAGGTGGAGATTTAGTGCCCACATGCAAGCAATACTCGGATGGTGGTCTGTACCTTTATTTGCTGACTGCAAACCTCTAAAACGGAAGTAGTACATTGCCTTCGCTCGGATCAGCAAAGAACAAAGTAGCAACAGATGATCTGAAAAATTTAGCTAATGTGCAAAGACGTTGTATTGGACAGAGATGAGAACAATTTATTTTTTTCTTCTACTGAGACTTTTTGAAAATGCCTTGGTGCGAAAGCACAATATGTTGCTATGAAGAATCCCTTGAAGAAAATTCTCAAATTTATCAAAACATTATAAAGTTAAGACTCATATCTGTTCCATCTAAATTTTCTTTTGGTAAGTAGCTGAGGTGACACATGATTACTTACTATTAAAATATTAACTCTGAAATGCAATTTTCTATCAATTTGCTTCAAAACCTTAACATCGTTTATATATTTCGCAAACTTTACTAATATATAATAATAGCCAATACATATGTCTCATTTTTGTTGCTATTGTTGACCAACGTTCATGCGTCAGTAACAATCTGTTCACCATCCGCTCTTCCAACCACAGTAAAGTCACAGGGTTAGGCGTCCCACCTGACAAATTTGTTTGTCCTATCCACTCGACTGGAAAAAGATCATTGCACAGAATTGCCCAATAGAATTTTGAAGGGATAATCAGCAACAAAAAAAAAAATTGCGATGGCCACTAAAAGCAAAGCGTCAAAAGGGCCCAGAAACCTTGCGAAATAAGCTCACCTAAGGAACAGACACACATACACAGCCACATAAATATAAATTCTAGAAATAGTAAGGCTAATTTCATCCTAAAAGTAAAAAAGTGTGACACAAAAGTTAAATTTTTCTAAGATTATGCAGCAACGAGGCGCAATAAGGGAATTGTAGTAAAGAAGAAATTGGTAGCAAAGAAAACTGTATTTATTTGCGGTAAACGCTTTGCAGAATGCTTCTGTGGCACGCGTAACTGTTGTCAGCTCAAAATATCCCACCTTTTTTGGCATGTATTCGCTTGTGTGCCATCTGTATTGTTCGTTTTATTCTTCACACTTCTGTCGAAGCTTTTGTTATTATTGCTGCTGGCTATTGCCGCACTTACTAGCCGAGTGCCACAGTTCGCGTTGTCTCTGCTGCAATAATTGGTGCACTTCGTGGTTATTTATGTTGCATTTTAAAATAACGCCACATTTTCTGTGAGTTATTTTCTTTTTATTGTTACCGTTACACTGGAGTGGCATTGGTGTTACAGCCGCAACAGTGGCATAACCGCAAATGGAGCTGCAATAATGGAGGTGTTGAAACAATAAAATGTGCTGCCGCAGCACTGCTCCGAAAGTTCATGCCCCAATTTTGAAGAATGGAAGTCAAAACATTTTGCCGGTTTCCTCACTAGTTTAAGTGGCCTGCTCATATACAGCTTTGGACAGATGGTTGTATGTACATATTTCCTGCATTTATTCAAACTCGGACGGCTGAGGCGCCAACATGTTTCCAAAAATTCGAGATTTGGCATAAAATGCAAGAATAGAACCAAATAATTGGGTAACTTTACTGACAATACCCAAGGTAGCGGTAGCGGATTTTAACAAGTGCTCTCGAGTATGCTGCATGGCACCTAGGAGAACACTCTCTCTTGTATGGACGACAACTAAGGTTTACTCAGGTAAGCACCGGTGTTTGGTTTTGCTGTTATTTTTGCTAAGTCAGCACTTGATAGCCAAAGAATTTAATTTTTCGTGCTGCCCGCCTATAGGGAATACTGTTACCTGAATTAAATTTTGCTTATTTCAATTATTAAATCTGTCATGCTAAATTTTTTGATTTTCCAAAAATTACAAATAAGCTTGAAAGCTGTTCTTCAACCTTTTCGTAAATGCAAATATTAAACTTGTAGTTTTGTGTGTTGGAAAATTATCATTGGACTATGTTTATTGTGGCAGTTTTTAAACTTGGTCTATTTGCTATGTCTGAGCAAAGCTTTAAGTAAAATAAAAACATCATTAAAAGTATTGTGCAACATTTTTTTAAATTAACAGTAACCATTCAAGTGGCAAAACTTCTTATCTTATCTTAACAGAAGGTCTATTTACTTCATACACTGTTTCTGCACATTTTCTTGACAAAAAACTCCGCTTCGTTATGCGACTAAGCGGTATTGTGAATATACTTTGATATATTGAGTTATTTATTGCACAACAAAAATAAAATAATAATAAAAATAGTTGCCTTCATGTCGCCTACTCAGGCATAGCATTGTGATAGATATACAGAATAGTCTTTTTCATCCTCATATTGAAGTGCCAAACCAAAAGCGATAAATTGTTTCCGGCTAAAGGAAATCGCTTGTTTGACTGTAGATAAGACAATCATTTGCCGTGAAAAGTTAGAGGGAAGTGAAGAGCATTTTTTCATATATGCTTTTGATATATTTAGTTTTATTGTTTACAAGAGTAATAAGTAGGAATTTGATTTCGCTGATTTTTAGGCGAGAATTAAGTGTTTATTCGCCTTTAAGCTGGTTAATCAATTGATTTGAACTACATTTAAACAGAAAATTAAACAATTTTAGTAATTAAGCCAAATGTAATGGATAATGAAGAAAATGTATTCGCACATAATCGAAATCATAAAAAACGAGATTTTTAACCATCTGATATTCACTTCGCAATACTTACTACCAAGCTTTTATACAAAAGCTTTACTACTTTGAATACCTTCGCTAATTTACTTTTTTTTATATATCATTCCATGTATCATTTCAACTTATTTTAGTAGTTCATATATCCAAATAAAAATTAAAAGGAGCAGACGATGATCCGCCAGGGTTATACTTGTATGTAGAAGGCCAAGCATTTATTGTTTTTATAGCAGCTTTTATTTTTATTAATTTATATATATATATATATATATTATATATACGTTTAATATATATAGATTCCTGTATATTCAAATCGGCAACACTCAGAATTCAGTGCTCTTCGGTAACAAACGCCAAATAGTGTAAATATTTAATACCAAATATTCCTATATATGTTTCTTGATACTTTTTATGAGTTCCCATGTTCTTCGGTGACAAAATAAACAACATATAATAAAGCAACTCAGTTGTTTGTCATCCTTCCACCCACTGTCCAATTTCAGTTTATTTCCTTGGTTCTTACTTAGTTTTACGAAGAAAACTGTCGACTAGTTGCACTTGGCACCATACTTGAACCAATTCATAACTACTTGATTTCACAATAGAGTAGCGGATATGCGCAGACGACTGTTATACTTTTAACTCACCTCTTAGATAAAAGCTCGCCACAACAAAAGCTTACACAAATGCGCATGTGTATGTGCTGAAAGTAATATCTATGTAACATAGCAAAATCTACTTATGCTATAGCTTCATATAGACGCAAAATCTGAATGTAAATTTGTGAAGCAAAAATAAGTCTGAACATGTGTAAATGTTTCAAGTTGTGTTAGTCGTTAACATGTAATTACGCCAATTAAAATATTTTATACAGTAGTTTGACTTTCTTATGAGAGTTGAGATTATTGAGCCAAAGGTTTTTAGATTATTTTATAAACAATACATTTTCGCTGTTAAACATATTTATCTGCCAATGCGCATTAATGTGTCTGTCATATACTGTTTAGTAAAGCAAATCAAACAACAAATTGGTAAGGGATTAAGCTCAATAATATTAAATTCCTATTTCCTTTACAGCTAGATAAGATGAGTCACAGCGAAATACCCCGACGGTCGCGCTGCTGCCTTCGCCCACATGTAGTTACTACAAGGACGCAGTAATACTTACACGCAAAACGAACAAATACAACAATGGCAACGAAAAACAACAAATATGTTTTTTGATCTCAGGAAATAAAAGAGTTGTCCGCGTTTAGAAGCAGTTTAGTAAGTAACCACGCACCTGAAAGCCGGCAACACTACGAAGTTTATTGGCACAAAAAATCAAAACAGCACAAAAACCACAAACACCGTTAAGCGAGGTAAATGCCAAGGAAAAGAGAGTTTAAAAGTGCGGAACCGAAGTGTTAAGCAGTTAAAACAGTTGAAAAAAGTTGTAAAAAGACAGAAGCGAAATGTGAACGACCGCTGGCGAAAAGCAAGCATTTGAGAAAAAGCAGACGAAAACACTCCAACCGACGCTTAAGTGCAATAACCGACAAAAGTAACAAAAACAAGCCATTGCACGGCAACTAAACTCTAACAGCGCAACTGTAACATCAATAGCACAATCAACAACAACAATAATTGCACGAAGTAATATCGAGCTACAAACAATTCTTCGACTTCTATTCATACTTACTAAAACTTATAAACTCCATGAGAATCCAAAGCAGAAAGTCCGAACAAATGCAAAAATTGTTTTTAATATCTGAGGACTTTACGGACGATATAAGCGCATAACACCGAAATAGTTTCAAATAATATTGAATAAATGGTTTTATGGAAGAATGATGCAATTGTCGGAGAGAAAAGAAAACGACTGCAACGGTAATTGCAGGATAAACGTCATGATAGGAAAGCATCTCAGTCTACATTCAAAGTCATCACCACAAAACTTTCCCAAAAGACGAGATCTTCACGACCAACAACGCGTTTTAAAAATAACAAATTAAATAAAGCAGCTTATAAAGAGAAGGTGTGTGCCGAGTCGTATAGAAATTAAATTTAAAAAGCAGCAAATGAACTTGTTTGTGGAATGAATTTCCTGAAAGCAAGTAGCAACTACAACAACTCTCTCCGCTGTCAGCTGGTTGCTGCTGGGGCTTGAGTTTATAATTTCGTTAGCAGGTGAGACTTGAGTTTGATAACCGCATTCACCAACGTTATTAAATATATTCAACGAATTTGTTTATACTATTAATTATATACAGTTATTCTGTAGTTGAAGAAGTGATGAGTAAATTGCATAGTACACATGGATTATAAAAGTGAGGAATTTCGAGAATATTTCGGTATTCCCAACACTAGTGCCATGTTGGAATCCCCTTAAGAATCACGAAAAGACCAAGATGGAAACTTCGCACTTAGTTGCAAATGCTAAAATCTGAACGAGTGTGTAGCAAAATGTTTTGGAAGACCGACAATAGTGTTAATAAACATAATTCACAACTAGGCAGATATATTTACGGAATGTTAAGATATATTCATTATGACTGCGTCTTTCGTGGCCGCTGAGTAGTCTCTTACGGATTCATATATTCTTTACTTGGTAACCAGGGATCGATTAAGGAAACCGAAATATCCCAAGAAAAATTTAAAGGCAAATTTCATAACAGAACCAACTAAAGATAATGAGGAAAGGAGGAAGCAAAAATATCTTAACAAAATTATGTGGTCTGGGGACAAATTTATTTTCTCTCTTCATCGAATAATGAAATATAAATAATATTACCTACCAAGGACAGCAACGACAGTACTGTTTAAAACTTTAAATTGTGTTTTTAATGAAACAAATTAATATGTGACAAAGAATAATTATTACATGTATCTTCGTATTCCTGAGGGCTCACAAGATGTTGGTCTGCACACTGTTTCAAAACTCACAAGTGAGCTAAACATATTAAGTTTTACTCTGCACAGATGTCCAACAACAGTTTGCGCTTACAATGAGTTTGTAGCTTTTTTTAATGCAGCCATACACCTATACTACATTTAGTTGTGTGTGTTCGTCTTTTGTTGAAATTACGAAAAGCTTTGCTACTGCTGTTGTCCAGGTGTGCTCATGATTTTATGGCGGATAGTAACATTTCCTAAATTATGGATACTTATGTGGTTAAACAGGCAGAGAGTTCAGCTCAAGTGTTGCAATGCCATATGATTGCCTCAAGAGAAAGATGATATGACGTCCTTTCATGTCAACAAGTAACGGAATGGTCTGTGTGTCACATAAAATGCAAAGAGAACACATACCTCAAGATGTTTATTCGTGTCAAGCCGCAGCTATAACTGCTTATATCCAGAATTACAAAAATTTATTGACATAAAAAGAAAATTACACAAACATAAAAGTGCAGCTTAAGTTCTAGTTTCATGTTACATAAAGCATATTTGATGTTAGAAGTTCTAATTCGCAAACTTAAGCAAGAATAATTTAGCGCAACAATTGAATTTAGAGAACTCTCTACTCTCTTTAGGAGCTTCAATCAAAGACAAGATCATTGCAGCAGAATCGCCTTTGTTGATATATGTAGCTGTAAAAAACTCCTTTAGGTGGTTCAGTAATGTCGAGCGTCCAAACCACCGAGTTGTTTGTTGTTTCTTCTCAAATCTCGTGAATTAGATTCGCAAATATTCTTGAACATACTCAAAGTATGAAGTAATTTAAATACTTATTGCAAGGATTACATTTTCTGCGTAAAAAGTTCATAGAATAACAAATTCGCTCTTAATTGCGTGTTGTTGATATTGCTTTAAAGCTATAACTGCGTAAAATGCTCCCGATGTAGCCACCTGCTTACTTGCGTTATTTACATAAAGTTGAGAAGTGTAAGTGCGTGTTTTGTTCGTAAAAGTTGTAATTTCATATGTGCGACATTCTGTTATTACATGCGTTACTGCACTTCCGCATTTGCAACACGACGCCAACAACAGAAGAAGCACAGCAATAACAACATGAGCTAAGTAGACTTCTCTGCATGAGAGTTGCTATTATTCCGCTTGGGTGGCCTATAATGTCGCTACCACAAACCCACAAATTTTTTATTCTTCCAAATGAGTGTTCTGTGCGCTTCTTCCTACTTCATAAACATACATATATCTCAATTGTCTAGGGGGAGTGAACTTCTTAGGCCACTTAACCACTTGTGCTTTCGAGGGTTGCCACTTGTCTCATTCAACGTAACGCTTCTTTCTTTTGAGTTGTCGCTCTCAAAAGTCTTTGTTGCTTTGTTGTGGCTTGTTTGTAGCTGCTTTAACACTGCTTGTAAAGAAACAAATGTGTTTTAGTAAAAGTCCATGAATATCAATTTTCAGCTTTAAAACGGCACTTAGGTCGTTATAATTAGCCTCTGTGGGCAGTCAGCTCTTTTACTTAAATTGCGGCTTTTGGTGTGATTTTTAATCTTATTTTAATTGCATTATTCCTAAGCTGCTGACTTTAAATTTTGTTTTAATATGATTTTCAATTATTAGTGTACAAAATAAAAATTTAAATGAAAATTTATAGAAAATGTATATGTGTGGCTAATTAGCTCTTACAAGAACAATAACATTAACATCAACAACAAAGTATAATTAACCAGTGGTCATAAGTAATCGGACAAAGTGTTATGCATGCCACATCCACATGTCTAATAAGAGAAATCACTCAAAGCCTAGTTTCTTTTACTGCTAAAAAGTATTTATGTAAAGATTATAATTTGCAAAAATTTAATAAAGGATAAAGTTGTAAGAAAAGTATTGATCATAATCGATAAATAAGCAGACGTGTTCATGAATCGAATGTGTAACGCATAGAACCGCTTCTGCATCGAAAGAGGCGTGGAAGCGATTATCCAATCCATTTTCAATAGTTGATGGAATGAAGTGTCATCGTGTGAGATCCTGTGTGGTATGGTCGTGTATGGTGTGATTGTGAGTGGTGTTCTCAGGCGTGGTGTATTTTATGAGAGCATCTAAATACTCACTACATATCCCAATAATTTGCTACCAAACTTTCTGTGAATATAAAAACCCAGATTTATGTGCATTTGAGATTTACATTCTAAAGGCGCCATTCACTCGTGCGCAGGTACGCCATTCGCCATAGCTTGATCCAGCTAACCATTTCAATAGGGGAAATAAATACCATATACACATAACTGTATTCACCCACAACATATTTCCCAAGCGTATTGATGGCTCTTGCACAATGGCAAACGCAAACGCAATCGCGGTCGATTTGAATCGGGTGATTTATTTGATAGCGGTGAACTAAGAGGGGCATTTTGCAAGGGGGCAAGTGTAGTCCGAACCACATGCGTGTAATCATAGACAAAAATATCCCTCTTTTGACAGTTTGAATGAGCAATAAAAGCTACAGAGGCAGCAACTATTGCAAATCACCGCTCTGATAGCGATGTGTGTGTGAGGCAGTGCGGCAGTTTATGGTGAAATTGGGCATGGCAAATATGTGTTTAAAATTTGAATTGCAAATGAAAAGAGCTTTGTCGTAGCTTATAAATGGCTACTGCGGTTCTTATTGTGGCCAAAACTCTTAAAGTTTTATTTCCACTACATTAACTAGAGTTAGTGCTTTAAGCACTTACGCATTTTCGAATTATTACTGAAAATGTTTCTATTAGCCATCCCGACCGCCTTTAGAGCAGCAACTATAATTTTATCATAGAAATTTTTACACGAGACAGCGGTAAGGGCCTAAACCTAATAGGACGTGGTTAAATTTGAATTAATATTTATTCTCTGATTTTCCCTGATCCTTCCGGTTAAATAATTATATTTTTAACAAAATTATGAATCCTTCTTATCCATGGTATAAAGACTATGTGAATATATGTATTGGATGTAATAACGAAATTCCAATTTTAAATATGAAATTATACAGTTATTCATCATGGATGCATGATAATGCTCCATAAAATACAAAATAATGCTACATTATAGAACAATTAAATTTAAACTGCATATTGTTTTCTTGCATAGCATACATTTAAAATGTGCCGGCAGAAAATCGACGTCTAGCCTGATTAACAAGCTAAGTAGGAACAACAATAAAAATAATTACCCCTCAAATAGAAAGAACAAACAGAAGCAGCCGCAGTAACCGTTGCCTTGCTATGTTGACATAGCTTACGGAAGACAAGAATATAATTTGTGTACAAACAATAGATAGCGTGGAGAAGCCTCAGCGCAGTTAACTCTGTGGTCGTCTACAATATCGGCTACCGGCAAAGCGTTATCCTATTTTTTCAGGTATTATCCTCAATCTAAAGTTCTCTCTCCGAGCTTTTGCCTTTTTTGTTAACAACGTCCTCCTTTGGTCTTTTTAAGTTTGCTGAATAAAATATAAACACATGTAAGCGCGGCAATGTGCACGATTCTATTTTTATACAAACTATAAATTTGTTGAAGAAAATGTTAATTTTTGGATTTTTTAGTTGGATTACAAGATACAATTATGTTAATACCAATATTAATTAGAATATGTTAGTTAATGTGAATCTATTAAAATTTCCTAATTACAAAATACCAACAACATGCAAGCACATACTAGCGTACGAGTTTAATAGAAGCGCTTCTGACATTCAACAAACTTTTGTCATTGTCCAAACAAAAACATACTATTCAACAACATTGCTGCTCGATAGGCTCATCGCAGCTACATTCATTCATACATATGATATATATTTATATAGTTTATATAAATATGGTTCAACTGTCTGTTTATTCCTTGTGGACATTGGTCGACTGTTCCCTGTCATTTTGACTTCGATTTTTAGTCATATTGCACGTTTTTGCCAATAACGGTCAATTTAACCGTTGGTCTATTCCCTCGAATATCTTCATTTCCATTGCGCTTAGCCCGAAATTGCCCATTTCTGTCACTAAGTTGAGCATTTGTTGGAAATTTCATTTAATTCCATTTCGTAATAACTGTTGTAGCCGCCTGTCCCACAGTGAAAATTCCATTTGCTCGAACGGCTGTCAATTAAAATGTCAATGTAGAGCAGATTGATGGCGCTGCAGTCGCAACACCGGCATTTCACCGATATCAAAACGATGGAATTGGTGCCCGAGGGAAGAAATAAATTCGAAAAACCAAAAAATATGTGTGGATGAGGGGATGGAAG